CAGATGAAATTACATGTCTGGAATTTACTTCCCAAATAATCTGGCAGAGAGCTGAGGGGGTGGGGTGGGATGGGGAATGAGTGGGAGTATACAGAAGACAGGTAAGGGGGTTCACTACAGTGTTCACCTTTCTATTGCTTAGAATTTTCCATGATGAAAATGTGTTTTGTTTTGTCTTAAGTCAACTGTAACTGTGCTAAGGTTGTCAGAGAACTAAGTACTCAACAAGATCAATCAATCAGGCTGTGTGGAACCAGGCCTGTTCTTGTGTGTTATGAGAAAAGCAGTATCACCCAGCACAGCTACTGAGTCCCCACCCCTTTATGACAGAGAAGTTCTCAGAGAGGGGCTACTGGATTGTGGATGGATGAGAAAACTCCTCAAATGATGCCCCCTGTAAAGACCGCTCATACACCAAAAAAACCCGAACCCACTGTCATCAAGTCGATCCCGACTCATAGTGACCACATAGGACGGAGCAGAACTGTCCCACAGGATTTCCAAGGAGCGGCTGGTGGATTCGAACTGCTGACCTTTTCATTAGCAGCTGAGCTCTTCACCACTGTGCCACCAGATGCCCCAAAAGGTAGACGTGGTTTCCTACTTTCGTAATAACGGTCACCCCTCCATCATCGACCAAGTGTCTATGCAAGAAACACTGCTGCTTCATGACTTGTTCTTCACTTGGTGCACGGGAAACCAGCTAACCGCCCCCTGGGTTTTAACGTGGGCCATTCTCCCTAACTGAAGATTTTTCCCCAGAGCCCTCCATGTGGCCTCTGCAGCCCTCTGCTACCTCAGCTGAAACACTATAATGAGTTTCCTTTACGAAAATTTCTACTCTACCATATGTAATATGCACAAGTATTCAGTCTTCTGTCAGAAAACACAGGATTAAATCCGTCCTAAAGGAAGGATCCCTGAACATGAAGGGAATGATGCACAGAAGCAAAATTTAATTACTGAGGGAAAAATAAAAAGCTCAGAGGTGTTTTATAAAATATATTCACGCGAATATTCAAGATGTTCTAATATTCCTACAGTTGACATCATGCATAGACATGGTCTACGACTAGAAAGCAGCGTACCACAGAAGAGAGCACAGACTAGGTGCAAACCTGACTGCCACCTTCTGGCATGTGGCCTTTGGCAAATTACTCAACTGCCCTGAGTCTCAGTTTCCTCACTTACAAAGTGGGACAAAAAGCCCGGATAAATTAAAATAAACGTACGCAGAACACTTAGAACAATGCTTAGTACAAAGTGCTCACCTATAAACCAGAAGAACTACCCATTAAAACTGATCTCCACTTGCAAGATGCATTCTAACCGTCCCGTTAGCACGTATCTAACTGCACAGACAGGGGGTACAGTCTGCCCACTACAGATCAGAACTGCCACTGGTGTCCGCTATAGACAAGAAGTTCCTAACAGCTTTCCAAGCCCTACAGTCTCTCACCGAGTCCGACTGTGCTTCCTGCTCTCAGGTTCCGTGAGGTTATCCAGTTACTTTATATACAATATCAGCACTCTTGCACCCGTCAATAATGTGGAAGCAATTCTGACCCGGGAGAATGAACATTAAAAGCGGCACATTCACTTGCTTGCTTGAAACGTCAGCTCAGAGGTATACAGCACTAACTCCCCACAAGGTTTAAAAGCATATATGCTCTATAACTGTCTCTACTGGCCAAAACTTTTTTGGGAGGTGGGGACAATCTATGCTTTTCATTCATTTATTAGCCAAACTAAATGTTCACTCCTTTCAAATATATTCTCTGGTGCCTGCTCTGGCCAGGCAGTCACCAAACACCAGGGAAGTACTACACAAAATAGATTCGATCTGTCCTCACTGAGCTGAACAGCCTAGGGACAGAGTCAGACCAGTAAAGAACATTTCCATCGCAATATTTTTGTTAAAAGTTAATTAGCCAACCACTAAATGAAGATTTATTATCTAGCTTTCTTAGCCTTTACATAAATTAACAACTCAGCAGTAAAGCTTAAAGCCAAACGGCTTTTTCTTTGTTTACTCCTGAAATACTCTTTAATCAGCCTTAGTACTTATATAAATGCTTCCATTTTGACTTTACTTACATTATTAACAATTTTTAAGAGTTCAACGACTAGAGTAACTACAGCCTAAGCCAAGAGGATTTTATCAACAATTTACCATGTGCCATAGATTTAAATTAAGATTAGAGAAGACACCCCAAGTGTTACAAATCAATAAATTCTACACAGAATTCACAAATTATAATATCAAACATATGGTAGCTATTCAAATTAACTTGATACCCCCAAAGCAAATTCATCTGATACTTTATAAAAAAAACTGAAAATCTAATCTATAGCTTATTTTATTTTTTGATGTTTTTATGTATTTTACTATTATTGTTTTCCTGCACTATGTATAATCTGTAAACGTTTCTTTCTTCAGTAGGCAACCGTACGAATTAAATAAAATGTGTGAACTGCTTCTCTTTGTGGTTAAGAGCCAAGTGGCAAGACACCAACCACTGGAGGAAAAAGGAAGCCATGGGAGCATGGGATTTTCAAAGGTCACAAAACAACAAGAAAGTACTGTCATCTCCAAAGCTTAAAAAACTGTAGTACTGATATTACATAAGCATATAAAAATAAAATGTAACACTTACCCAACACTGTTAAAATTCATTAAGAACAACCATTAACATTGATGATCACTTACTTTGTGCCGTACACCTGTCTAACTGCTTTACAACCCGTCTTAGCTATCTAGTGCTGCTATAACAGAGATACCACAAGTGGATGGCTTTATCACGGAGAAATTGATTCTCTCAAGGCCTAGGAGGCTACAAATCTGAATTCAGGGTGCCAGCTCTAGGGCTTTCTCTCTGGCGGCTCTGAGGGAAGGTCTTTATAATCAATCTTTCTCTGGTCTAGGAGTTTCCCGAGGTCCAAGGGCTGTGCTCCACTCCCAGTGCTTCTTTCTTGGTGGTAATGAGGTCCTTCCCCTCTCTGCTGGATTCTCTCTTTTGTATCTCAAAAGAGATTGACTCAAGATACAACCTAATCCTTGAGTCCGGTGCCTCATTAACATAACTTCCTCATTAGCGTCACAGAGGTAGAATTTACAACACGGAGAATAATCACATCAGATCACAAAATGGTGGATAACCGCATAATACTGGGAATCATGACCTAACGAAGTTGACAACACATTTCTGGGGGACACAGTTCAATCCTTAACACAACCCACTTAATCCTCACAACCACCATGAGCAATAAGTGCTATGACTATTCCCATTTCACAAGGCACAAAAGGATTCAGTAATTTGTCCAAGGAAGAAGTATATTTGGCAGAACCAAAATTCAAACCCAAGCAATCTGGTCAAACAACTCACACTCTTAACCATTACACTCTTCTACCTCTTAGTAGTAAGCCAAAGACAGCAGAACATTTTCTTTAGGCTACAAGCTGGACCGCAATGGAAAATAGAATCCATGATGCCCAGCGCTTAGCCTGTGTCCCAGGAGTGTGGGAATGAGTGAAGTGAGTCAGGGACATCACTACAGCCATTAGCAGAGGCTGAGAGAGGAAATCCAATGCTGTTAGCTGACATGTCAACTTGTTTAAACGACGGAGAAACTAATCTTCTCAAGAAGATTTATTTGTCCTTCAGTTGTGGGGACTTCATCTCATTATCCCTTGGCAATTAAACCAGTACTACTTCGTGCCAATGCAACGCTAAGGGCAAACATGGACACCAAAACTGGACAGTAATAGTCACCTGCCAAGGCTGTCACTCAGCTGATTCACAAAAGGCTCAAGGATTTTTTTAAAGATTCTAATCAAAAAACAAAAGAGAGACACTAGAAGTGCTCAAGGAGAACTCGCGTACTCCCCTGGAAATATTTTTAAACCTCAGCTGGCAAGAGCAGGTTAAATAAGATTTAAAGATAACCAATATTATTGAGCCCCCTCTCTCCCAACTCCTTAGCTATCCAGTCATTTGGCTGAGGGGAGCAAAAATGACTGAGCTTATGGCTGGGCTTCCCTGAAGTTAGGTGAAAAGCTAGAACATCAGCACATGAAAACCAGGTGAGAGAGCCTGTGGGTGTGACGCTTGTTCCAGAAGCTCCACAAAGCGGCTCCAAGCACGTGCTTCAACATGAGGAGAACCAGCCCTATCACTTGACAGCCTCTTTAAAGGTAATGTATTTAATAATTAAAAAAAAAACAAATTAGTGTTCCTAATAATAATTTAATCTTTGGAAAGCAAAATCTAGGTATTTAAAAAAGAAATTAAACATTTCTTACACAGATAAAAATTATCAAAAGTATCCGGCCCTCACAGTATCACTGAAAAAAGGAAACCAGGCAAATGAATCCTTTCTAACAACAATACTCAACACAGACAGTAAGGTATTTACTAATTAAACTAGCAAAACAAGAAGTGGCAGGAAAAGAAAAAAAAAGAAACAATATACTTCAAAGTAAAATATCTAGAAGATTTATCATCAACACAAAATGTTGGTGAAATCCAAAATGACTCTCATATGGTTACTTACAACCGTCCTCTTTTGGAAGGTTTCTGTCTAACTCTCCCAACGATCTACATCCATCCAAAGTTATTCATTCGGGCTTCGTCTATTTAAGCCTCATCAAAAGAAAACATTTTAGATTTTTCAAACATCTAGGTACACATTTTTATATATAAAATGTTATACTCTGACTAATTTCCAAAGTGTCAGCTTCTCAAATCCAAATACCAAAGTAAGCTAATATGATGCACAAAGCGATATACTCTGTTAAGTAACAAGGGAAAACCATGAGAAGAGACACGTACAATTTCAATTGCAAGAAGTCATTCCTAACATGGATTTTTTTAGATTTCTTACATGAAATATAGTCTTTTTACGCAGAAAAGCTCAAATATCAAAAGATCTGGATTATTAGGATGCAAAAGTACAAGTAAATCACCCACACAAAGACTTGGCCCACTTTCAAGGCTTACCTTCTTTTTATCCCTCATTGAGCCTTTGCCTCGGACCATTATTTTACATCCTGTTTCTGCTTCAAGCTGTTTAGCTGTAAGTCCTCTAGGTCCAAGGATTCTCCCAACAAAATTAAACTGCGGGGAAAAAAAATCACCATACATTATTCACCTGCTTGAATTTACAGCTCTTAAAATTATTTTTAAACATCATATTTACTTTCTGAAGTTAAATATTTTTTAAGACTAAGTTTAAATAAAATCTTAGAGAATTTAGGAATTTCCTGCCAAGCTTACGGTCAATAACTCATTGTTTGGCATGAAATTTCCATATGTATTAATACAAATTATGAGTTAGGAACAACAAACAATATCTAGCTAAAATAGGTACTGTATGGAACTGTCCATCAACATGTAATCTAACCAGAGTATTGTAAATAGTTTGACAAATTCTTAGATGCCACCCAAGGAATACAAATCCCTTCTAAAACATTCCCAACTGTCCTTTTCTAAGAACGAAGTTGAGGGAATTGTTTATTATGTTAAACAGTGATTGCCCTTTTTATGGAGAGTCTTAAGAAAAAATTCCTGTCTTATCTATTTAACAAAATACGTTATATTTTGTCCAAAGCAACTGATCAGAGAATTGTATAACTTGACTATGTGGGAACAGATGGAAGAACACAGATAACCAAATTTGGGTTCCACCCTACATTAAGTGTCTATGTTAAGTCTTCAGAGTATACATTTTTTATCATATTCCTGTGCCCTTATTTTCCTTTTTTGCTTCTACCTTTAACTTATGCTATCAAGTATTATTGCAAGGGGCTTTAAATCTTTTCATGAATATGAAAGTAATGTAAATAATTGTATAATTACCATCCCTCAACAGAAACTTCTAAAATTCATATATAGAAGGTAATTTAAAAAAAAAAAAAATGGGGAGAATAGACTGATTCTGAATACTGAAAAGTTTTCCTCATTCACGATTTATTCGTACAAAAAACATAAATGACTGTTTACCAGAAGTTCCACAAAACCTCATAAGTGATTTTCACTTATTTATTCAATCAAATAGACACCTCCTCTTAAACACGCTTCTCCCTACTTTTTTCTTGCCCTTGGTCCCAAATACGCTAGCATTCACTGCTGTGAGGGCTCAAGAAGCCAGGGCACTTCTTTCACCTTCTGCACCCCAGGGACGTCTCACTTTGCCTCACTAAGCTCCTCACATCTTAGACAAGGGGTGCTCCACCAAAGGTAGGCAGAACACACGCAGAAGCTGAAGAAACCGCCTCCCCCTGCAGAATTCACAGACCTTCCATCCGAAGTTGAAACTGACAGCCTTTGATCCTGTAAGCCCTTGATCCAAGTCTACAAGAACCCTCTTTCTGAAATTTGCGTAGCCCACCACCTCTTTATACTCAAGACCTCTCATCCTTGTCCAGTTCTCTGCAGATAGAACTTTACTGACCTCTTTACCCAACCTGAAACTCCACTGTCATCCATCTTAGCAATGTACTCAACTTGCCAGATTCCTAGAATGCCCAGTCAACTTGATCTTTCCACATTTCCAATCTGAATGAACTACAGTCATGCACTGCTTAACATCCACAATATGTTTCGTGAAATAAGATGTCATGTGATTTGGACACCATATTACAGGCAGTCCTGGGGTTACGAACGTCCGACTTACAGACAACTTGTACTTAAGAACAGATTGCCATAAAGCCTATCACACTAAAAATGAGTTAAATACAATGGTTCATAATAACAAATGCACTTACTCCTTTGTGACGCTCATGAAAACACCGTACGGTTTGGAAGTGTATTCTTAAGTGTTATATATGCATAGAAAGGTAAAATATATACTATATACCAAGACGAACATCTGACTAACTGACATTAAACAGGAATCGTATGTACCTGTTCGGCTTACAGACAGACTTGGGAATGGATCTCGTCTGTAGCCCGAGGACTGCCTGTATACGAGAGACATGTGATACGTGTGCTGTGTGCAGGAAGCTGCTGCATTCACTATGCCCGGTTACGTCCAATAGTCTCGTTCTCTGATACTTGTAACTTTACAGGACCATGGACATATATGCCGTCGGACGCTGCCTGACTGGACATTACATAGCACATGTCTCTTTAGTATACCACAGTGAAGTGTTCAAACTCTGAAAGCACACAGATCCTGGCTGGTGTCCAAGTTTCAATGCCAAACAATAACTAGGAATTTGAAAGTCACATCAAATAAGCCTCAATTATATAATAAGGATAATACTAACCACCTACAAGAGTTGTAGTGTGGTATTATGGTGTGTGTGTGTGTGGCTGTGCACGCACACGTGTGCACACACAGCACAATACATATATAAAAGGTCCAATACAAGGCCTGGCACATATTAGTCGTTAACAGCTCACCAGTACAAATTAACTTCGGGAAATGTCAGACCCTCACTTGTACTCGACAACGCAAGTATTCAAGCTTAGAATGTTCACAGAAGGGGAAACAACTGACCCATCCCTACCTACCAAATACCAACAGCCAGGCATCTCGTTTTCCAGCAATAGGCTAGAGTTTTCTTCTCTAGAAAAACTGAAATATCCTAGAGAATATATTTCCCCGTTCCAGCACCGGGGTCCCACCGCAAACGTCAGCACTTTACGGCATCACCTGAAATCGAAGTCAGCCAGTGGATAAGCCCCGTTTACGAATACAAGCTCCTAATTCAAATTTTCAGTGCCTGATACTTAGACATGAATTGACAAACAAGGTTCACCAAACACTAGCAGAAAGGCCCCAACACAAAAGAGATGCAAGATAAAGAAGGAAAAAGACTATACTAGATAAAGAAGAAAATGACCAAACAGAGTATCTTTAGTTGATAGAAACTATTTTCTAAAATGGTTTTACACATTTACATTTCCATGGTGGTGGTGGATGCTGTCAGCTGCTGTGGAGTCAGCCCCTACTCACGGCAACTCCATGCACAAAAGAAAGAAACGCTGCCTGGTTTTCCACCATTCCCATGATCAGACCATTGTGATCCATAGGGTTTGCATTGGCTGATTCTCAGAAGCAGACTGACAAGTCTATCCACCTAGTCCATCTTGGTCTGGAGGCTCTACCAAAACCTGTTCAGCATCACAGCAACAAGCAAACTCTCGTAACAGACAGGTGGTGGCTGCACATGAGGTCTATTAGCTGAGAATCAAACCCGGGTCTTCTGCATGGAAGGTAAGAATTCTCCCACTGAACCAACACTCACCAATGCCCTGAAGAATACTGTACCCAGTAGAAGAGTACAGGACTTTACTTTGACCTCATCATCTCCAAAACTTTGTAGTGCTAGTTTTGTGATTTTTTTTTTATCTTAGTCATGCGGGTGCACGTTTGTAAAAATATTTGATTTTGTTTTAATCAGCATTTCCCTGATTACTAAAGAAGTTGAGCACTTTTTAATGTGTTTATTGGGCATTTGGATATAATTTTTTTGAAGCACACTTGAAGTTTCCTATTTTTCTATTGTGCTGTTTATCTTTTTATTGATTTCTACTTTGTGGTTACATGTGTAACAAATACCTTTTCCCATCAAGTGGCTTGCCTTCTCATCTTTTAATGGTGTCCTAGGATAACAATGAGAAGAATGAGAATCCCAGAACATTTAATTGTGCTGACGTGGAGCCTGTACATAGACCAAGAGGCAGTCGTTCGAACAGAACGAGGAGATACTGCGCGGTTTAAGATCAGGAAAGGTGTGCATCAGGGTTGTATCGTTTCACCATCCTTATCCAATCCATACGCTGAACAAATAATCTGAGAAGCTGGGCTGTATGAAGCAGAATGCGGCATCAAGATTGGAGGAAGACTCATTAACAGTCTGTGTTACGCAGATGACATAACCTTGTTCGCTGAAATTGAAGGGGACTTGAAGCACTTACTGATGAAGATCAAAGACCACAGCCTTCAGTATGGACTGCACCTCAACATACAGAAAACAAATGTCTTCACAACTGGACCAATAAGCAACGTCATGATAAAAGGAGCAAATTTTGAAGTTGTCAAAACATTGAAGTCCGCGTATATTTTACTTGGATCCACAATCAATGCCCATGGAAGCAGAAGTTAAGAAATCAAACGATGTATTACACTGTGCCAAATCTGCTGCAAAAGATCTCTTTAAAGTGTTAAAAAGTAAAGATGTCATTTTGAGGACTAACGTGCACCTGACCCAAACCATAGTGTTTTCAATCTCCTCATATGCATTGACAGCTGACAGAGAACAAGGAAGACTGGAGCTGAACTGATGCATTTGAATTACGGTGTTGGCAAATAATGCTGAAAATACTATGGACTGCCAGAAGAACAAACAAATCTGTCTTGGAAGAAGTACTTCCAGAACGCTCCTTAGAAGCGAGGATGGGGAGATTTTGTTTCACATACTTTGGACATGTTATCAGGAGGGATCAGTCCCTGGAGAAGGACATCAATGCTTGGTAGAGGATCAGCAAAAAGAGGAAGACCCTCAACAAGATAAACTGACACAGTGGCTCCAACAACAGGCTCAAACGTAACAACTGTGAGGACGGCACAGGACCAAGCAGTTTCCTTCTGCTGTACACAGGGTTGCTATGAGTTGGAACCAACTCAACAGCACTTAACAATAACAATACGGTGACTGGAAGTTTTTAATTTTAATGGAGCTCAAGTTATCAATTTTCTCTTCATGGTTAGTCTTTCTGTTTCTTTTCAAAAGAAGTCTTCCCCCCCCCCCCAAAGTCACCACAATATTCTCCTGTAGTATCTTTCAGAAGCCTTACTGTTATACCTTTCACACTTACATCTCCACTGTACCCAAAACTGTTGTCTGTGTATGGTCAATGTTTTTTCTCTCAAATGGGTATCCAACTGTCCCAGCGCATTTTACTGAAAAGACCAGCCTCTTCCAACTACTCTGCAGTGCCATCACTGTCATAAATCAAGCATCTATATACATGTGGGTCTATTTTTGGGCTCTCTATTCTATTCCATTAATCTAGTTCATCCTTGCTTCAATATCACATTATATTAATTACTATAACTTTGTAATAAATACTTGATATCTACAGTACATCAAGTTCTTCCACTTTGT